GAGTGGCATTAAAGCCGCGGTGTCGGAGGACGACGAGATGGCGCGGGGAGGCGGGGAGGGCGGCCGTGAGCGCAGCGATCCTGTGCACGACTCGCTGAGGCTCGTTCTGAGCGACTGGGAGGGCAAAGGTGGGAGGCGTGTGTGTGTCTGTGTGCGGAAATCCATCGAATAACATTTACCCGACAGTGGCAAAACACACCCCGTGCACAGATATGCGATGACGGGCCTGAAAGCAGAGCCGATTGTTTGTTTGCAATCGATTGTTCATGGTCCCATGTCCAAGTCGGGGGGAAGGAGGGGGGCGGTGGGTGGGGGGTAGAAAGGGAACAGATGCGACAGTGCACCTTGCGTTGCGAGTTGTGGTGCGCTGTTGCGACGCGCAATGGGCCTCAGGAATGTGCCGATGCCCGTTTTCTGCACAGCGACGCGGTTGCCACGCTGGTCACAGTTGAGTTGCAAGAAATTTTCTTTTCAGAGGACCCTGATCGCGCTCCTGCTTGGGCCGAGCAATAATACGACCTCGAGAAATGGAGATCTGTGTCAACAAAGCGAACGCTGGGCATGAGCTAGTGCCTACTATGATGGGCGAAGTTACAGCACCTAGCAATGCATCAATTCATGGTTGACCGTACCTCGGCACTGAATGTGCACGATAGACATTCAGGGAATTCGAGGAGCCATTCACCAATTAGCGACTGGTGCAATAAACGCAGAGTGAGCGGAAGCGAAAACAGGCAGGAAACGAAACTTGGAGCACAAAGACATTCCATATCCAAATTGGAACTGAAATTCTTCTGCAAGGCATTGACAAGTTTCGAGAGGAGGTGCATATCTGAAGCTCATCTGTAGTTTTGGGCACATAGGGTGCCTATGGCTGCAGCGCATGAAGCTCTTTAGCATGTATTAGAAAGCAGAAAGCCTGGCATAAAAGCACAGAATGTGGGCGGAGCAGCGCAGCTCTCTTGCGATTCGGCGCAGCCCTTTCGAAATTTCTAGGCTGTGTCAGGGCACATATCCCAAAGCGCAATGTCCCCGACATCCAACACGCCATTTCCAATCCAATATCCGAACGCAGGTGAAAATGGAGAAAGCGCACACAGAAGACCCGGAGCAATGTCCAAAATCAATGCACTGGAGAAGTGCCCCGCGCTGGACGCGCCGTGTGTAACCGTGCCCCAACGAATAAATGTTCTTCGCGCGTTGCTGCGTCTGCTGTCGCCCGAGCAGTTCACAGTTCACGGGCTGCGTTTTTTCAAGGACTGTCGACAAATTGTGATCTCAGGATTCTCCGCAGGAGACGCGGTGTCGATGGCCATTATGCGGAGCCGAATGGGGGACAACGCGAAAGCTTCTCAGGCATCCCCAACAGGAGGCGGCGACCACAATCAAGCGGCGCTCCCCACGATGTCCGTGGACACGTCCTGTCAACAGACTCCCCCATTCGACGCTGACGGACAGTCGCCCCTTGGGCACAGCGCCGAAGCAGACAAGCAGCTGCTGCAGCAGTATCGACGCAACACATCTCTTGCCAGGTGGGACGCGCGGCAGTGTACATTGCGCTGGTGCTCACTGACGCTGCTCGTTGATACACTGCCACGGTTCCTCAGCAGTTGAACTGGAACTTCCATTTTGGCTAATGCTACTTGTGAAGCGCTTGTCAGCTTGGATGCCTCGGAGTGTGTCACTAAAATCTTAGATACTGTCGGGTTCACCTTGACACGTGGCAACACAGAGACACGATCGCCTCCTACTGATTGCATGGGCGCAGGTGCGGTTTAGCCAAGTAGTTCAAGAGACTGACTGTACTGCACAGGCGAGATTGATAGCCGCAAGAATCTGTCATGAATCAACAAGCGCTAAAAAGCAAAACTTTAGTACCAACTTCTTGCCCAACATCGCCCCTAAGGTGCCAGGCCAGTGTTTTGTCATGTTTACGTGACAAATGTAGTCAAAGGATTTGAGGTACCACTTGTTCTCAAGCGAGTGTCATGTGGTCCCGGGACATGCTTCCTCGCATGACGGGCACGAATTGGCATCGTTTCATCCCCTCTTTCTGCCTTTATTTGATGTTGTTGCAACTGAACATCCTTTTCGGCATCCACGGCCCTCGTTTCAGCCTCCGTTGAGTGCTGCGCATATTATAATCAGAAATATCTTCCCTAAAATTGTGTTGTTGGGGCAGTACGGCCCACTACAAATATGCTTCATATCAAGAAAAACACCGCAATGCTGGTGTAACATGGCTCAAGCAGCGTGGGGAAGAACGGCTCACAAGCCCACGCCACTAGTGAAAAACAGGCCAAGTACACGGTTTTGAAAATCGTATAGCGCGTAACACGATTGAAAATCGCGTAAAACTCGTGTGGAATCTTGTATTTGTCGTGTTTAAACTGGCAGTGGACCGTGTAGTGACGATCGATTGAGCGCACATGATTTTTGCACGTTTGACTCGGTTTTACCCGACTCTTAAGCGGTTCGATTCCGTATATTTTGGCCGATTTTTCCTCCTGCACTTTGCTCATGACACAGGAGGAAATTCGGAGGGAGGCGAAGACTGGCGACCCTGCCACCCCTGGTTACCGACAGGTGGGATGGTCACTCTCGGGCAGGCGAGTGGCTGAAGTCAGAGGCAGCCTTGCGTTAGCTTGGTGCACTTATTTTGCCTGTAGACTCAATATGTTATTGCTTCGACGTGTGGAATGGCTTGACTGACGGCGTTTAAAGGAAAAAACAACTGAATCCTGAAGGGGTGCAAGCAAAGAAAACGGCGACAAAACAACGACAATTCGACGCATCGTGAGCTTGAGACCCTCGGCTCAAAGACACAAATATAGGGAGACACATTGCGCCAAGATAATCGCAATGAGATACATAGACGTATTTGGCAAAAGAAAGGGAATGATAAGTGAAAGCTATTCGGGTAGAAGTGATGGAGGCACGTTGCAGCTGTCGAAAAACGAGGTGACGGGCTTGAGCGAGGATGCTCGAGAATGCCGGGCACTGCCATTTCATCCCCATCATATTTGGGACCACCGGGCTTGACGTGACGGAAAGATGTGGGCCTGGGCCTTGCCCCTGACGAAGGCAGGCAGGATCGAGGGTGGCCATCCCTGAACGGGAATTGTACGCTCAAGTCCACGACAACGGTTCACAGTCGAGGCAAAAGGACAACAAGCGTTCTGTTCTTTATACTCCGTCCATTCATCAACATCCTTAATGCAATTCCTAGTGCTTCATCATCTTTTCATGCACTCAGTTATTAATAACACTCAATCAATTCTAGCCGTAACCCCCTGCCTGCAGCAGCCCATTGATGGGCAGCGCGCCCATTCAAACGCTGCATCAACCTGGCATTATCACGCGTCGCCTGCAATGCAACCCCCGTTTTGGTCGTTTGACGAAAATTGGCACTGTGAACTTGGGATGAATCCGTTTACACTTGTCAGCAGAGAGGACAAGTCTGAGCGCCTGAAGGCGATCAAGGACCCTCATTCCAAAACATCGTTCCCAAGGTAACCGCTTCACGCAATGCACAGCCCCAAAATGCGGACGTCACAATTGTGTCCCGGGGTTTTTTTCATGCTAAAAGGTTGATGCCCGTTTCACTGTGACGCAGGAGAGCGAGCTGCGCTGCGACTGGTGTAGCTGCCTCCAGGGACGGCAAGGAGGCCAGGGCGAAGGACCTCATCCCCACCGCCGACGTTCCTGGATCCCGTCCGGGCTGTTGCAAGCCGGCTGTCCTGCCGCCAATACCGGAGAAGCAACGCCCATGAGGGCCGCGCGGCAGAGGCGAGGGGCGCTGTGTGTCACTGTCTCGAGTGCCCTCAAATTCCAAGGACAGTCGCGTCTCGTCAATTCTGCATCTGTTTTGAATCGGAAACACGGCCCGCTGCCCGGCGATTGCAGCGCGCCCATTGCTCTGCACGTTCCCTACATTAATCTGACTTGTCCTACAATGCGATGGACGGGGAAAGGCCGTTCTGTTGGTGCGCATGGCTCAGGCCATGGAGCGGCTTCACTGTCACTGGAGGCGCACGCCCAGGGGTGTTGACGGTCGCATTCGTGGGATTGGCATTGAAACAAGAATAGCACGGGCTGCGATGCACCTCGTCCACACGTGTGACTGTTCAACGAATCCGGATCTGCAAGGCTCCTGTCAAAATGGGCCGGCAGGGCGTCAGAGTTAAACAAACCGCCGCAGCTCTGCATCTGGCGCTTGGTCTTCCCGCCTAAACGCCAAGGCGCCACAAAAACCCTTGTGAACGACCACCACCTGCAGACCATTCTGCTATCCCCCGTGCAAAGGGCACAGAACATTTACTGTACACAAATTCGCCAAAACAATGGAGGTTTCATTTCCCGCCCAGCCCCACCTATCCCGGCCTCACAGCCATACTTGTCTTGGTCCTGCCCTTGCTGTTTCCTGGCCACTACCGCCTGTCAGGCGATCATGAGACCGTCGCCCACTGCAGGTAACCCATCGGCCATCCCCACTCTAAACACGCCCAGCCCAGCCCATCCAGGTGCAGGCCCCACATGTCTTGCGCCAGCACCATCTGACAAAGGAGCTCTTTTCCAATCCCCCAAAAGCAGCACCATCAAGGAGTGCAGCAGGAGCGTCGTGAGCAAAATTGCAAAACGCCACACTCTCCCGGCATTGCCCCATGGGGAGCCAAAGTCGTGGGCATTTGTTATGTTTTAACAATTTTCTCCTTTCCTAATACCCCAAACAAGAAAGGACCCTGCAGTCTGAGCGTGTGCAGAGCCTCTTGATCGAGCTCACACCGAACAATCTTTTGCAAACCCGCTGAGAAACGCATAATTTTAAACTGGACGCGAGACCTGGGCCTCCAGGTCCAGGGCCCTTGTGTGGCAGGAAGGTGGCACAGCCATGGCGCTGCCACAGATTCAATAAAGCCGTTCTAAGGGTTCCTTACGGCCGACACGGGGCAGTTGCCTGGCACGACTATGTGCTCGCACCAGTGGCATCGCTCTCGCAGCCTGGATCTTCCTTCACAGACTGTACCACCAACATTGCCAGTCCCATGACATCGGGGTAGTGGGGATATGAACGCACGAAGATACGTGCCGCTTGCAAGGTGGTCAAAGCCTGCACAGGCACACCAGCAACCACTCTTGCCGCTTTGTTGCCAATGGTTCCCATGCAGTCAGCGTTTGCTGCTCTATGGTTGCACAACAGAGTTGCAAAGCACACATCAAGGAAAAATGCTTGAAAGGATGGTCAAGATCTGACAAGCATGCACTGAACACATGCAGCCCTGGCAGCATGAAGGCTGTCTTAGTGAAAGGACAGTGAGCAGTGGTTATCAACCCACTAAAAGCGCAAGGGCAATGCAGAAATATTCAGAAAGTGCCCAGATCGCTGCTCCACAGTTGGTACCAGCAGTAGTTCATGGCGCCACTGGTGTGCATCAGTTGTTGGGTGCGTACCACTGCAAAAAATGCAGCACACAGATTGCTGTACTCAAAGCGCTCCGAGTCAACACTGGACTTCAACTGCTGGATGACTTCCTCCATCTGTCAAAGACGAAACAGATGCCTTTGGGTGCCTCCTGAGCGGGAATTCTGCTGTGAGTTGGGAACTTCAGACATGAACAAAAAAAACGGCAGACCTAAGCCCCAACTCTGGATCAGCAAAAGATAATAGACATGCAAACCTCCCGTATTGCCCTTGAAGGCCAGAGCCTCAGCTCAAGTCTGACAAGCCAAGCATTCGGACAAAATAAGACTGGTCACAAAGCCTCCTATGGCCGTGTCAGGGACCCCGAGGAACAATGACAAATGCAACAGCGGGAAACCTCATTTTCCTGCAAGCAACGGAAAGAAGCAAAGTTTCTTCGACAACTGTTGTCAGATGGTAACACAATGGCCAATAAGACCTCATCACTTTGGCAAGACGAACCCACATCAAAATTATGATGCAGCATCTCTCAGGCCTGAAGCAACAGGTGTCCTCACACTAGTGGTGTTTGAACACCATGGCATGAGGAATGCTGAGTGCCGATGTGCGTGTGGAAGCAGCTTGTTTCTTGGCAGCCCAGAAGTCAGTCCACACATCAAAGGATTTCAGCGATGTACATTAGTGAGCCGTATTAGTGAGCAAGGGAGCAAACCCTCTGCGACAGCACTAGTCAGCACAGGGAAGCACCCAAAATAAATAAAGAAAATCGGTTCTGGCAATCGAGGGAAGTGACCATCCACTCGACACTATGAGCAATAGCTGTCACTATGAGCAAGGCACAGGAATAAAATGGCGTATGACAACAGCAAGAGATGACCCTGTACCGATTTTGGTACGCAAAACGTCAAACTGACATTCCCCCCCCCTCCTCCTCTCAACCCCACGACCTCCCCTCCAAGCGTCAATTTGATGTTGAGCGTACCAAAATCGACTTGTTGACTCCCCTAAGGTTTATCCATTGATCCAACTTGGCCCACCTGGACCGATGCTTTGGCAAGTCTGTGCATCACAAGGCCAGGCACATACTCCCCTTCCATTGCCAAAAGCTGACTCTGTAGCACATCACAAAATTTTGAAACGAAGCTGCACAAGGAGACTGACAGGGGTGCAGTCCCACCCACTTTATTGCTGCAGAGTAGATCGTACAGTTGCAGGCACAAGGTCAATTGACACAAGGGGGCTGTTTTCTTCACCTTTCCTCTTCATGTGGCAAGTTCCAAAATAAAATTTGGCCCTGGATGGGCAAGTGCATACAGGAGCGAAAATCGTGCTGCACTGTGGCATAAAATTGCCCAGGTCTGTTCAACTGCTTCTCAAAGCAATATCAGCAAACAGCGCATAGACAGCCACACAATCAACACTTTGACAAATTGGGCATGGCAGGAAGGATCTGCTAATCAAGTGCAGTGCAATCTACCAGCACTATCATCTTTGAGCAGCTGGAGCCCATCTCTCTGTGCTTTAACACAATGCTGCTATTTGCACAGTCCGTTCGTCATCATGCCAGGACTGAACGACATCCCTCACTTGAAGCACGATCCCTTGTAGGCAGCAACCAGCAAGCCTGCTGTCAGCAGATTGACTGCTGGAAGCACAAACGAGCACTTCAAAAGGCACCAGATTGATGGTATGTTTCTTTTAGTCACCAGCGGGTTTGGGTGTTTTCTTGTTTGAAACAATTGCAACTATGATCAAAACAATGTTTATCCTTCTAGCCTACAAAAGAGTTACAAGTGTACCGCCGTGCGGATCCTGTCTGTGACAGCAGCAGCTTCCTTTCTGTGGGCTGCCCTGCAATGGGTCGAAGCGGTGAAGCACCTGCAACTGGTTGTTCAGATGGCGACGTCTTTCTCTGATTCGCTGCATGTTTGTGCGAAACTGTCTGTAAAGCGCCACCACCCTCTCCTGTTGCTCATCCTTCAGTTCCAGGCACCTCTGCACCACAAAACAAGCAAGTCAAGACATACTACTTTGGTGGGACATGATTAAGGAAGAGATTGCTTCAAAAGTCAAACCAAAAGAACTGCAGGCCCCCTCAGTCATTCCTTACTCTTGCTCATCTGCCTTTCTTGTGTTGTTGTTCGTGCAGTCCCCTTGACTGTGGGCATGAACTTCCCATGGCATACGTGTGGCCTATTGTATGATGCACACAATGGCAGCTCCCACCTCTCTTAACCTACTATGCTTGGTCAGGCAAATGGACGGCATTCGCCACACCAATGGAATTAATGCACACTTCAGAAACTGGTTTAGATATTTGAAGCCAATGTTAAACTTAGATCCAAGTTGCACTGCTGCAGCCCAGTTGTAGTTGTGTGCTCACCAGTAATCCTTCAGTTGCCTTCTGTGCTTCAGTTTCATTTGGCAACTCTGTGCATCCAAATTCAAAGTTCCGGCCAACGAACATGGCCCCATACTCAGGTTTTAACAGCACAAGTTTCGACAACAGTTCGCTCTGCACCCACACAACAGACACCTATCAGCCATCCAGATGATGAGCACAGATGCCTCCACTTGTTTTCCATTATTCTTGCAGCACTGACTACTAGCCAACAGGCACCTGAGCACATCTGGAACGGTACTGTTTGTGCTGACAACAGCTCCAAAGGTGATACAACTTCAATGTCATTTCAATGTGCACTGATCCGCAGCACATACCAAAGGGGATAAATGGAACAAGGACAACGGGCCACCAAACCACGCCCCAGGCAGCCACCTCAACAATGAGGTGCCCAGGTTGCACAAACTGAGAAATGAGCAATGCCAAACACCAAACGGGATGCAAGAGGGGTCTGCAGCACACACCGGTGCCACGTCATCTGTGATATGCACAGTTGCAAGTATTGGGAACAAGCATTGATGCACATGATACAGCACCTCATATCAGCAGGAAGGTGTTTGGGTAATGTAGAACTGCAAATGTAGCAAAATTTCAGTGTCTGGAGTCCCATGCGATGCCACATGGTACACAAGAAATGTCCACTCACTTCAAACAAGAGTGTGGTGATGTTGAGAAGATAAGTGCCAGCATAATTTTCACAGTAATGAATCACAAAAGCACTCCTCCGCACGCACCAACAAAACAGGAACTGCACGCTTGTTTTATGCGAGTCCAAGAGCCTGGAATGGTGGCACCTGCGTCCTGGAATGTGATGCAATATATTGGAAACAAGAAATCAAAAATAAGAAATCAATTTACTTCTTTCTTGGGGAAAAGGTATTCGACTTTGTTTCATCATTGTTTGCAGGCAGTCCTCCCAGTTCTTTGCACCTTTGTGACAATGCCCTGTTGTCCAACAATCAGTTAACTCTTGGACGATGGCCAAGTTCTGTCATGATCTCCAACAGGCATGTTGGCAAGGACGTTTTGGAAATGTCCATCAAATATCACTTTCCACCATCGGGTCTCACCAGATCTGCCAAGATTTGATTGATCTCTTTTGACCCCTCTGGGCTCCCTCCTGGCTTGTCCACCAACAGCAACAGCTCGGAAAGCCTCTGCGCGTACTCCTTATACTTCTGGCACACGTCGTCTATTGACATCTTCATCACAACCTCAGCTGTATACATGCTCGCCGACTCGATGGCACCCTGTTGACCCAGCACTGATCGCATGGAGCAAGGTGGGCACGGTTTGACATCTGTAGAGGTTGAATCTTCACCTTTGGCCTTGAAAGCACAGATGTCATAGTTATGTCCACATGTTTCTGCAATAGGAGACTTCTCAACACAATCATTCATAATGTTGATGGTATGTGCATTCCTATTTTGTGTTCAATTCCCCTTCTACATCCCCTCCCTCTAGTACTTAATCAAAATTGGAAGGCAAACGAGGCCAATAAACAGGTTCCTGTCCTTGGCAAAAGTTAAGGAAGCAGCAGATGGGCCTAGAATGGGTGCATGGCACTTTCTGCTAACCGGTAGGTCATCAAATTCTCATCATGCTATCTCCCTGTGGATGAACAGCAGCGATGCATGACTTCACCACTGCATTGGACTTTGCTGCTACAGGATACACAAGCCCCATCAAGCTACAGGGAGCGATCTGAAACTTGGAACTGGCACTTGAACTCAGGCCTCCATGCTGTCCAAGCTGTGAGATCGTGCCAATGCTTGCAGCATATAGCTGAATGACTACAAGGAAAACAACTGTTGATGACACCTTGGAGGCGTAAACTTCAGCGATTCACTCCAGCTCTTGGCAAATTTCTGCAAGTTTTCAGTGGATGTCCACAAAAGGCTCCTTCCTGATCCTGCTTTCTGTTGATGCGCTGCAAAGATCTGGGAACTAACCACATAGACAGATATCGCACATTTCCGCAGAAAGCATGGAATGTAGTGTTACAGTGTGCTGGTGTCTGCTGCTAGGTCAAAAGATGGCTGCAAATGTTATGCTGCAAAGTCATCAACTGATCAAACCCCAAATGCAGTATCTGACTGTGCACAAAGATTAAACATAGCAGGCAATGCAGTGGAATGTGCCCAGATTTGGTTACAGAAAGGACTTTATCTGAGGACAGATCGTATTTTGCACAGCAAAGTGCTGTTCTCATCAGAGCCCAGTCTCATGTGGAACAGACCATGCCTGGCAATCAAACCTCTGGTCTGTTCCAGATTCATGCATCAACCGCCCATTAAGCCTTCGATAAGAAACATTGACCACAAGCTGCCTGGCGACAGACTGGCTGAGAACTGTTATAAAGGCATTCTTGGACTGGGGAGTAACTTAAGCACATAGTGTTCTGCGCAATGTTGTGCACATGGACCACATTCATGCGTGTTACACATCAAGTCCACCTTGTGTGGCTGTTGCCCACATGCCCGGGCAATTTGACAACAGCAACATGTGCCTGCTGTCCTATCACTGATGCTGTGCCCCTCTCTCTTCTGCACCCAACGCTTTAGGTGATTTGGCAATGCATTGCCTATTTGAGATGGATGGGCTTCAATTGGAAATACACCCACCTTTGCCTCATGCCGCAGCACGCTCAGCTGGCCCTCTTTCATGGCCAGCACCTTGGACAGCAGGTCGTTCTGATTCAATAGCGATGAGTTCTCAAACCGCAGCCTTTGCAACTGTGCGCTTAGGATGTGCACCTGGTGCTCCAAACCTGCCATTTTTGCCTGCACAAATGTCAAGAACACATGGCGTTTTCAAGCAAACCCACAAATTAAAATCAGCAACTTGAGCAAATCGAACTGAACAACAACTGCTTGCTGAGTTGTCCCTGAGGCCTGAAGAGGCCAACTTGTCCAATTCCTGATGTTTGTTGCACCAGAACCTGAACCATCTTGTAAACCCTAAAACCCCAGCTACTTCTCCGCAAGCCACTGTTAGGCCCTGGCATATTACCTGGTCAACGTACACAATGCCCTGCAAATTCCATGGGGAGTGCCGCAAACAGCATCGCCGCTGAAGAAGCCCCAGCCGCACAGCATTTCAGCCGCATGTTCGTGCGCCGACTCGACGCACTCATTCCGACACCGAACCAGCCACAGCGCCCAAACATCGCTCATAGCACACGCCAAACGCCCCGACGCTCAATGCCAACGCAGCGAACGCCACCAGCACACCAGGATTCATCACAAAAGCGTGGTGCGGGCGCTGATCGCACACGGTAGGTCGGCCGACCATTTCGGCGCCCACGCGGGCCTCCAAGATGGCCGACTGCGCATCAACTCCGGGAACTCCGCATCCCCAGTCCTCCCCTCCCATGGACAAGCACCCAACAACCCAACCCGTACAACGCCCCTTAAAACCCCCTCGCCCAGGCCCCCTGGCCGCCCAAAGCCCACCTTCTGCCGCTCCCTGAACTTCTTCTGGTTGCGCCGGTTCTTCTCCAGCATGTCCTCCCGCTTCTTCAGCATCCACCCCGCCCTGCCCTCCCCTTCCCCCTGCCCCCGCCCGCTGGCAAACCCCCCTCCCCCTCCCCCCCCCTCCACCTCCATCCCCTTCAACCCCGCGGCCGCCGCATCGCCCCCCAGCCCCCAACGGGCCCCCTCGCCGCCCAAGGCCCCAATCGGCCTAGGACCCCCCCCGCCCCCCATCGGCCGCATCCCAAGCTGCGGAATCGCGAACTGGACCCCCGTCGCGGATCCCTGCCCCTCGCCACCCCTGCCAGTGTGCCCCGCCAGCGCCTGCCGCCGCAGGGCCTCCGAGGGCCCGAGCACCGCCACGATCCGATCCAGCTCCTGGCTGTCCGTCATGCCCCCCCCAAAGTGCCCCGCGGAGACGTCCATGTCTTCCGCCTTGCGCGATGTTTCCGCCTTTGGCTTTGCCCCACCCAGGCTCTCCTTCCTTGGCGCTCTTGGCGCCAGCAGCCCTTCTCGTACACCGTTGGACGCTTCCGTGGACGCGAGTGCGGGCAGTGACGTTGCGCGGGTGGAAAACAGGGTACCTGGGCGGGGCTGGCGCAAGGGTACGGCAGGATCACGCGACTAATGCCTTATGGGACGAGGTGTCAGCCGCGGGGCCCCTACAGTGCGGCCGTACGACGGGTACAAATTGGCGGAGCACCGTGGCATCAGTGCTCGAGTCGGGGCGGGGCACTGCATTCCAACGACCCCCTTGAGGGAAGGTTGCACCGGCTGCTCAGGGTGCTGATCCGTTACATTCGGCGCGGCGGTACGGTGCCCGGCATTGGGTTTGTCAATCAACTGAAGGCAGAATGATGGATCCTGCGGCGGGGTTCCCCGAGGGTCGGCGGCTCCGTGTGGGCCGCGGCTTGAATACCCCTCTGCGGCGGATGTGGCACTCGCTGAGAGTCTGCATGAAAAGGGTTTCCCGATAGATGCCAGGAGGCACGTGGGCTCGCGTGTCGCGGGATTGCGGAACACCTCAATCCTCTCGCACGGCAGGGCCGTGACGGGACCACAACGGGGCACGGGCCTGGCGACGGGTACTTCCATTGAACGGCCTCGTGTCGCCCGTTCATTTGAATGTTTGGGTTGCCTGTACTGGACCACTGAGCTGGCTGCGTCGGTTGCTGATACTGTTATTCGTATTGCCTGTGTTTGACCGCCGAGTTGGATCCGCCAACAACCGATTAGCGATCTGAAGATCGCTTGGAAGGTGGCCTCTGGGCACATCCCTTGGGCGAATGTGATCAATCAATATGCTTGAAAGGCGGCCGCCTTTGTTCGATGCTTCACTTCCAATTTTCGAGTTTGTCCAACTGTGTTTGGTGGCTACACTCTGACGCACTGTGAAACTCATTGGGAAAGTGAAAACAGCACTGCGAGTCAGATTGAAGGTATGAAAGGCTGACGTCAAGACTGCTGCAGCTACCATGTCGGGCGGGCAGCCATTCATGTGCTGGTGGTGGGCGCACTGGCGACACAGTCGAGTTGTGGGGGGCACGGCTTCCCAACGATCAGATTCACTTTTACTAAAGTTGTTGCTGTGGGTTGGTTCTGGCAGCTGCTGCTGCGGATCAGCGCTGTGGGATGGCGAACTAGGGACATGGGAGCGAATTGTGAGTTCACACTATGGTTCTGACCAGGAATTCTGGTGGACAGAAAAGGCGCGCTCGAGTATTTAAAGATTGCTCGAGTTTGCTCGAGTACCCCTTTGCCGTCACAAAGTTGCCGCAGCTCTTTGGGCTGCTCCGACTGCGTTCGGCGGTGCCTGTCCGTCGCTCGCCGTTGAATACTGGCGCGCACAGTCAAGTTGAAGGCATTATCTCAAACCTTGCAGAACACTCCAACAGTTATATTATCAGACAACGCCAAAGTAGCTTTCGTTGAGGTGCAATCAGCCGCTAGAAATACAAAAGCAAGTTACAAAGAAACTGCAAAAGCTGGGCTACTCCGAAACCATGTAAGAGTGGAGCCGGGCGTGCACATATAAACGCACAGCGCCCAACACGGTCAGAACCGCTGTTTGTTTTCAGAAACTGTCGGTGTCTGGGTGCACTCAGCCAGGCTTGCCTAAAACTGCACACCCGACGAAAACTTGGGTGGGAAATTTTGCGCATTGTGCGATCGAGCCGCTGCAACAGAGGCCTCCCCCGGAATTTTCCGCCCTGTGATGCTTTGTTCCCGCAAACTTTTGACCGCTCTCCCGAGACACCTTGGGCGCTTGGCATCCTGTAGCCTGTTAGCTTCAACAATGCAAGGGCGAAGTGCAGCGCTCTTTGCTGAGCTACAACGCGCAGCACGCATGCAGCAATGCGACCAGGCCAATCTCCAGCAGGGCATTTCTAAATTGCCTAACGTCGTGACAGAGGACGGGGGGCCGCTCCCCCCGACTACTACGCTGTAGAACCACGTGCCGGTGCTCTCTGCCTCAATCTGCCCTTGGCTAGGGCGCTTCCCGCGCCTCGACTCTTCACTGCCGCATTCCGCGGGCCGCCAACTGGTGGTTCTTGCAGCCAAAGCCCAGAGCACAGAGCGGTCGGGAGCGCGCCGCGGTCAGCACGATGCTGCGCTGCCATGCCCGTTGCCACTGCCGAGGGGGCGGCTACTGTGGAAGGCGGTTCGGGCAAGCCAGGTGCATTGGAGTTTCACCGTCCCTTTCTTCGCCTAGGGACCAAGGAAAGGTCAGCGTAACAAGGGCGACGCCAGTTTTGGAAGGCAAACTTTGCGGAAGTCTGTTTTGTGCGATGGGAGCGTTCACAGAGAAGAAGTGATCTCGTGGGCTTTTTTAGCACAGCGTTGAGTGCTTGAGAGATTTTCTGTGCTGATGCTGTTCTACGCAATGCGCAAAAATTATGGAGCGTGAATGGTTTTCAGTGTGGTACTGCTCGGTACAATCCTCAACACACATAATCCCAAACTGATTATCAAATCCGTTTGTCCTTGAGGTGCTTATGTGCATTAGTTTCTTACTGATTTTGCCAGTCTATGGCAGTACTTTTGCTTTTTCGTCTGCAAGACTGTGTAACTTTCCCCAGAGAAGTGTTGTGTGCAAAACCAAATTGGAGTTGGTTTCCAAATCAGTTTATAATCTGCTTTTCGCATTGCCTTGAGTTCTCCGGTATGCTCTTTGCGCTTTTCGCCAACACTCAGCGGCTGTCCACGCAAAAACCTCTCACGGGTCCATGATGTTGCGTCAGCCAGTCCGTCGCCATGCACAAGTCACGTTTCCCACCTCCGAGCTCAGGGACAACATGACCCATGGCGAATTCAACACTTTCGAAGGACAATCCCGGTGTCGTGCCATGCCGTTCCGGAAGTGGAATCCGAGCGGAATTCAATCGGAATTCGCCCGGCAGCTGCCGCGGGGCCCCGTTCCAGGTCGCCACACGCCGCCCCGATAAAGGCCGTCGCGGTGCGGGACGTCGTGTCCAAGCGCTTGCTCCCCTGATGGCTGATGGCCCCAACGCGGCGCCCACATCCAAAAGCCCCCCCCAGCTGCCCACCTTTGTCGTTATTTTGGCTTCACCCCTTTTTGGGCCGCCGGCTTTCCCGCCCCACATCAGGACATGTGGCGCGGCTTTGTCAGGCGGCTGGTCACGTGGCACCCCCCCAGATAACACCAACAGACGACGGGTGGTGCGGGGGGTGGGCAGCGCGGACGCCCTCCCCAACCAATGGCGGTGGGCGCACGAGTTGGTGCGCCTGGGACCGTCACCGGGCGCCGCCTAAAGTACGTGACACGCGCTCGTCACAACGGCCATAAAAGCGACGCTCGAGGCTGCCACCCGCCGCTCCACCGCCGCGCGCGACGCAGCCACCCCACGCCCCCGCGGGACGGGATCCGCATCGCCCGGGAGGACCCCTCCTGGCGGGGCGCCGCGTAGATGAGCAGCCTCGCCGAGCTGGAGGAGCAGATCGTGTCTGCCGTGAAAGCCCTGGTTGACGACGGCCTCCTCACGGAGCAGTTCCTGGAGCTGGTCCGCCTGCAGGACAGCAGCGAGCCCACCTTCCTGTCGGAGCTGGCGGGCATCTTCTTCAGCACCGCGGAGGAGAAGCTGCGAGAGATGAACCGCATGCTGGCGGACGAGGCCGTGGGGGGGGCCACAGACTACCCGGAGCTGGACAACATCGCGCACAAGCTCAAGGGATCTAGCGCCAGCTTCGGCGCGCGGGTGGTGGCGGAGGAGTGCGGCGCGCTGAGGGAAGCATGCGAGAGTAGGCAGCGGGAGGCGTGCAGGGGCGTGGTGGCGCGCCAGGCGGCCGCGCTGGAGGCACTCAAGGGCCGGCTGCAGGAGGTGATGGAGCTGGACGCGCGGCGCAGGGCGCTGGTGTGATCGGCGGGAGGGCGGGACGAGCGCGATGGATGGGGTGAGTCGCGATCGGCGCCGGAGGCGCGGATGCATGTGCGCACGCGCGCGCGGGGGGCCGGTGGGGGAGGGGCGTCGGACGTCGGAATGGGCATGCGCCGCGGCGACTTGTCGGGTCGCGGGTTAGGCGGGGGGGCGATCGGGATCTATCGTATACATATCGGCTGGAGGTTCCGGTCGGGCGTCCGTCCCCGCGGAGACGCAGGGGCGGATCGCGAGCACAGGGGCTGCGTCGCGCCGACGGTGTCTTATCTTTTCACTGGCAGGGGCGCGTGGGGAAGTTGCCGGCGGTGGGGGTTGGGGGTGGGGCAGCCGCGGCGGCGGCTTTGCGCGGGTTGTAATGAGGGAGGGGTCGAACGCCGGTCGCTACGGAATTGCGGGTGATTGTGTGGCTGGGCGCCCGGTGGTGTCGGACTTCGGCGAGGGGGAGCAGATCTACCTGAGTGGGTTCGAGAGGAGGGGGGGGCAAAGGGGGGTTGCCATAACAGCAAGGTTGCATGTGTCTGCTAGCGGCACACAGAGCGGACCCTTCGCTGTTTGTAGGCACTCGTAGCACACGGGAGCTTAGGATGTGAGAGCTTGCTGATCTACGTTGTCGTCCAAGCGACGCCGTGGTCGTTGTTCGGTTGGAAAAGAACAGGACAATCGCAGAACCCCGAACGATTGTCAGTGGTGGAATCAACAAAGAGGGAACACGGCGAGCACTTTTCTCAAGGATACTTGCAAAAGCGTTTGGGGTTCAGTGTGCCAGAGACTCAAATCTCACACTTTGGCCCTTGTAGGTTGATACCCAGCTGCCTCTGTCAGGCACAATATTGACGGCCCAGCTCCTGCTGGACAAAAAGCTGTTGGCGATCCTTGATGATCGCTTTCAGAATCTTGGAGGCCACATCAAGCGCATAGCCAGTTGACGGCACAGGCAATGCTGCTTGCGGTTTTCGAGGGCTCCCTTATTAGAACTGCAGAAGCGCTGACTGCAGGACATTGGGAGTGGCCAGCTGTAGTTGCCCGTGTCAAAGAGAAGGGACTCGATGCAAAAGTTTCCCAATCTGAATTGTAGAGCTTGCTGCAGACTCTGTGTGACGACTAGCTTCCAGACTGACAGCGAAATCTAAATAGCATTGGCTGTGGCAGGGGAAATATGCCAGGGAATACGAGAAGCCTGAGCAACTGGGCCACACGCTTGTCCGTTCGATTTGGACAGTGATCATTTTAACTAGCCTTGCAACTGGGAACCCTAGGTATTGTGCACTAACTTTGATACACAAACTGGTTCACCCACTGACCACCAATTCCCACCCATGCAGTTTCCTGTCAGAGAGGGTTCCCATTTGCAATTGCAGTGCAGCATCGGGAGAGCATCCACAGCTTTGGCATTATTCCCCATCATCACATGTGCTTACATCGCCTCAGTCACAAGGTAGCAATTGACTACCTGTCTTCTGCTGGGACTGCTGTGGCACCTGAAGGTTTTGGAAAGTGCACTGCAAATTTGGAGCCAAGAAACGTTCTGTCTGTGGCCAATGCCTTAGTAGTGTTCCTTGCATCTGGGGCAACTGACACTGTTGGTGCCACTTTTGTGCAGAAGCAATTGGGGAGTTGTGTGTCGCCGCCATTATGGTCCCATCCAAACCCACAGCGATCACCACAAACGGCGACATCCTCCAAACGGGGACCCAAACATGGGATGCCACACAGATGGTGGCAAGCCCTCAATACATGGGCTGAAATGTAACAGCATGCATGGTGAAACAAATGAAGTTTTGGTGGGTGGGAGAAGTATGGGTGCTGGCTGCACCATGGGACGGCTGGCACCAGTGCCTCCAGTTTAGATCGGAAAAGCTTGCGTGGGTTGAAAATGTGACCATCAAATGCAGGGTTGAAACTTTTTAGGTTTTGAGGGGCTTGTGTGGGGAAAAATAAGTTCCAAGCTTGTGGTTGCGTGGATGGGAGATCAACATATTGACCCCAAGGAGGGCTTGCATGTTGTTGGGGCAGGATGCAGATGCTTGTAGTAATTCCTTTCTGGGTTTGTTGCATGGGATGGATGTTATGCTGGGGTGGGTGTTATTTGTAACATAACAAGAATTCCATTTCCTTTCTGCTACTGTACACTGTTTGAAGCAGCCAATGGTGTGTGCGTGTGTGTGTGTGTGACTGGTTTCCTATGTGTGCATTATGCGAGCCGATGTCCCTGTTCGCCTTTTCCTTCCTGCTGAACGTCCTGAGATGAAGATGGTCTCCGTCCGCAAGTTCAGGAGATGGTGCGACGGGTACAAAGATTGGAAGCACTGCCAAGGACCTGCAACCGCGGCCCTGCAGCCCATCAGATCTTACCAGAACACAAGTCCTGGAGGAGTCCACAAACGTCGCTGCCGTGGGTCTGAATGTATGAGTGCTGCATGGGGAGGTGTGTGGCAGGCGTTGCCCAAGAATGCTGTCTGCGTCTCAGACGGCCGTGCTGAGCCACGGCGCATGAGACGTTCAATGCCCCAACTTGATGGAATCAAGTTCTGGCTGAACTCAATGGATGAATGGGAAGCTGCCCACTGGGAGTCAGAATCCGCAACCCTGCTCTGAAAATTTGCAAGACGTTGGGGGCCGTTGAACACCATCCGAATGCAGTTCTTCCTTGCAGTCAATAGTCTGTTGCATTCAGGGACAAACGGGCCTCCATTGTCGACTCGGCTCCTTGAAAGAATCAAGAATTGTAACACCTGCACGATCAGCAGCGCAGGGCGCAGCGCTCGTGGGGCCTGGGGATCGGGAGCTGGTGGCGGTATGGCGGCAGCTTGTGCAGGGGGGTGCGGTCGGAGCCCATGGGCGGGGGGCAGGATTCCAGAAGGGATTCAGTTGGGACACTGTTCGCCGCACAGCGCACGCAGTCACCCCATCATCATCGTCAACAAACTTCAACGGATCAAGCAGTGACATGGCGGTGATTGGTCCACGATCGACGGATGGTTCTGTGACTATTAAGGGACATGCCTGTCCGCGATCCCTCTGGAACTCCGTTCCCTCAGCTGTGTCTCCGAGCCCACACAGCCCCACCCTGAACCTAGCGTTTCCACGCCGGCTGGCGCGGCAGTGCAGTCACCAATCGTGTGATTGGTACCGACGAAGGCAGGGAGCGTCGGAGGGTGGCGACCCCTGCCTGGGGATCGCAGGCTCAAGTCCGCGGCAACGTTTTACAGCCGAGAGAAGGGACAGCGGGAATTCTGTCCCTTTTATGTACGTCCGTGCATCAATGGCCTTATGCATCCGAATGCCTCGACATCTCTGTGCGTCCAGCCGTTAATGGTCCTCAATCAGTCCAGTTTCTGCGGTACCATATCCGTGATGCCGTTGTTGGCGCACCACCCAAGCATGCAAGCGGCTGGGCGTCGCGCCTTGCCCCGTCCCCCCCTGCTGGCTTCGTCGAGAGGCCCGCGCCTGCCCGGATGGCGCACAGGCCGGAACAGAAGACACACCCGCTGTCGCAGCGCTGGACGCTGTGGTTCGACAACCCCGCCGGCAAGCAGAAAGTGGAGAACTTCGGGGAGACCCTGCGCGCCATATGCACCTTCGGCACGGTGGAGGACTTTTGGAGCCTGCAGCACAACGTGGCGCTGCCCAGCATGCTCAAGCCCAATGCGGACATCCACCTCTTCAAGGAGGGTGCGCGCGGGCAGGATGGCGGATCAATCGACTCTCCGCATGGTCCCGTCTTTTTGCCGTTTTTGGGCTCTTGGTTTGCCGTTTTTCACACCGCGTGTGGGAGATGGCGCGGTGACGAGGCGGATTTGGGTAGCTGGGTTGATGCCCGAAGCGCACCGATTTGAATCAGAGGAAGGGCGTGCATTGGGGTTTTTGGTGTCTGTTTTTTTTCTTGAAGGGTTGTGGCCCGCGCAATTTGCTGGCTTTCGGGACGGTGTGGGCGCCTGGCTCGTCGCATGGAAGGGTGGAACAACCGTCCAGTCCAGTCGGGCTCTGGATCATGTCGCGATTGAAGAGGCGCGTTGCCTGATGATGTGGCATCAATACTTCACATGGATCATGCCATTGCTTGTTGCCTGTTGAAGGATTTTGGCGTCCCGATGGGCGCTGGGGGCGGGGTGCAGAGCCCGTTGCCTTGACTCATCGCTGTTCTCAGTCGCTTGAACGGGCAGCTCCGCGACAAACGACTGCGTGCGATGTGTTGGCGCTCTGGGGAGCGCCACTGCCTATGATTGACCGAGCGATACGGATAGGCAACGGGAATGAGCTGTTGTACAGGACTGGAACGCAGAATGCAAAGGCCAAGAGCAGGCACCCACAGGGTGCATATCCGTAAATTTTTCTCCAGAGTCTCCAATCTTGAGGTCCAGAAAACTTTTCTCTGTCATCCTTCCAGTTGGCCGAGCGGCACTGACTGCTCTGGCACATAGATTTTGTCCATTGGCTGCGCAGAGGCAGAGTCGGTCAGGCTCCCAGAGATTGTAGCTGATACTGTTGCAGCCGGTGCCTGCCACGAATCTCAGGATTGCCTTGCACGTCCTGAAATCGATATAGTGCGAATTGCTGCATTCTCACTGCAAGGTGACAGCCAGAGATTGCATGAATGGGCCGACCAGCTCTGGTCAACCAGTTTATGGAACATGAAATGCTTCAACCGAGAATCACCGTGACTAAACAGCAGCCCCGGGAACTAGTTTTTCATGGCAGTAGAGCCCACACCAACTGAATATAAAAGGAGAAAGCAAGGCCACAGGAGAGGCGTTGCAGAGTTCGGACTGAGTGCCTGGATCTGATAGTTTGTTAGGTGACGGGTGAGAACCCTATGTGCCTGGAAATTGTTAACATATATGGGCTGAACGATTTTCTAACTCAAATACTTGGGAGCCCATCATCGGATTTGGACAAGCTCTTCAAGAGTGCAGTCCTGTTCATTGGAATCGAAAGGAGCTGAGAAGTTGGCTTGCAGCCGCATCCAGATGTATTGCAGTGCTGTGCAGCTGGCTTCCAGAATACACGCCCTAGTTGTCTTTGCACCAGTGTGCTTAGTCCTAGACCAAATCGGATCATGGAAGTTTGTAAACGGTTTTTTTTGGAATGTGAAGAGAATCATTGCTGTCACATCTGAGTAACAAGCAGCGAGCATTTGACAGCATTTCGATCCAGCACATTTTGGGGCTGGAACGGTCTGCTGGCCCCCAAACAGGGCAAATTTGGCGTTGCAGTTTCAAGGGTAAGGGCAGTCTGCTGCCACATTGGGAGTTTTGGCACCTGGCCTTTCTGAATGTGATGTCTGACAACATATGATTTCAGTGGTGCAACGAGTTCGCGCTGGGATATTTGTTCTGGAACAGATGAAGTAGTCGGATAGCAAGGACGATCGTAGCTTATGGCAGTGCTATATTTGGTGCAGGTATCACTCCGAAGTGGGAGGATCGCATGAATGAAGATGGTGGCCGCTGGACTGTGACAGCCCCCAAGACTGGGGGAGAGAGGGTGCTGAACGGCCTGTGGCTGGATGCGATGTTGGCGTGCGTTGGGGATATGTTTGAAGATGGGGTGGAGGTGCGTATGACATTTCAACAACCTCGAGCTGTGCAGCCGCAATCAGTGTTTGGATTTTGTTGTGAGCACACTGTGCAAGACTTGGCCAGCACTCAACAGCCCAGGTGAACAAAAGCGAAAGTGAAGAGGGGCAATGTTTGCACCCTCAGTGTGTGGTCCCTAAGCAAAATGGAAACTGGGCAATTGACGGAGGATGGGTGCAGGCTCAAGTTTCGTCCTTGGTTACTACTCCTTGGCTCCTTGCCATGAGTGGCCTTGCAAACATTTGGCAGTGCTTTGACTGTGCAGCAAATGTATCTGAAGCGGAATACATCACCGCGTGCAACTCTTGTCGGATGTGTGGAGACCTATCAAGTTCTGTTTGACCAATGACACCCATTGCCTGCAGAATTCATTCCGCTTGACAGCGTGTGCAAGATTTGGTACTGCTCTTGCAACTGCCAAGGCAGCGACAGATATCAGCAGCCTCCCCAGATTTCTGTCTGACAGACTGTAAGGCCAACTGTTATTCTCCAGCTCAATCCCGTACAAATCTGTTTGCGAATCATTTTGCCTGCAGGTTTGTGGGGTGGTGTGCAACATCAGAGCCAAGGGCAACCGCGTGTGCTTGTGGACGAACAAGGCTGACAAAAAACTGCTGCAGCTCAGCCTGGGCCGTCAGTTCAAGCACCACCTAGGAATCGGACCATCTGAAAAGATCAGCTACTTGGCGCACTCCGACGCGAGGCGACTCACCCAAACGCAAAGGGTTGCAGACTTGTACAATGTTTAGGGATGGGCCCAAGCACGTCGAAGCTCAACCAGCAGTCTTGTTTGTGCCTGCAGGGTGCTGCAGAGCCAGGACCCTGCTGCAGACCCAGTTTTATGCTTTCAGGTTTGCACTGGTGGTGCTAATGTTGGCGTGGTGTTCCACTTGCAGGACAGTGGGACAGCGAGTTGACAGTTTTTGATGGGGGTGCAGCGGGGTTTTTTGCCCTGACCAGTCAAATTCGGCTCCGACATGGTTGCAACACGCCTTTGTGCTTTGTTGGTGTGAATGGCGCTGTCTGATAGGAGTGGCAAGGTGTGGGTGATGGGGCGTGCCAGTGGGCGTCACACTCTCCCAAATAAGCAGATTGGCTGTTGAGCATTGACTCCTAGTAGGGCTCACCGTGTGTGTGGCTCAGGGGGGTGAAGAGTCCTTGTGGTCCGTGATCATCATACAGAGGGAGTTTGAGAACTCGAGTCTTGTGGATTGCGATGCTGTCCACGCACACAAAACTGTGGATGTTGGACAAGCGGCGATGAGGGGTAGCTGGGCGAGTGGCGGTTGGTGCTGGATTTGCCCAAACAAAACAAAAGTGGTAAATCTCACAGTGCTTGTGTATTCCCTGTGAATGGAGCTGTGCACATGGGTGTGCAATGACTGGATTGCGGGTGTGGGGGACTGATGCGCCGTATACAGCGATGCTGCTGCGACAGGGCACTGCTTCACTTCCTGATCGAGGTCAAGACGCTACGTCCTTTCAACGGTGGACAGTGGACTTCCGCTTTGCCGGGCACCGATTGGCATGAATTGAAAAATATAGGATTTGCTTATTTGTTCATCTATGATGTCACCACCGAGTAACGATGTTTAGTTCGGGCGGGGTAGTGAATCTACAAAGACGTCAGCAGGGTTTCAACCCACGCCTGCATTGTGCGCAAGCACTGTTTTCAGCTTTAGGTCAATGATAATGTCATCAATGCGGTTGAATCCTTGTCGTCATAAAACTGGGCGGACTATCTTGCCACGCTTGACCGCTTCCAACAGTGTAATGTTCGGGTCGCCAACATATGATATGAAATTTATGGCAAGCTGGCGACCCGTGAGTCTTCAAAGGTGGCTAGGAATTGGCGAAAAACCAAAAAGTGACAAAAGGGCTTAGTGTCCTATAAAGGAACGAACTCCAGCATAAAAGAAGAACAGGAGACAATAATGTGGCAAGACGTATGGGTATCTCGATGTGCCCCCAATTCTGCCAAGGTATGGGGCATGACACCGATGCCACGGTGGTCCTGCATCCCAAGAAGTGACGTGACGTTCTGGGCTCCGGGCGCCACCCCTTTGGACGTGCGCGCTTGGCTTGCGAAGCTGCGTCCTCACTTGGGAACCGCTTACAACAACGCAACACTGCCGGAAGGATGGATCTGCACCGATTGGCAGTAGCAATGCGCGTCGACTGGTTTGCACCGACGATCGGGATTGAGAGGCTGCGAGAACCGATGGCATTCGGTGGGACCGGCCATGGCTGCGACTCGTGGCGAATCTTCGCCAATGGATCCACTAGCCGGGTGGAGGCCTCAAAGGCTGTGCGGGATTGGGGCTTGCGGAACGTGCAAATGGGGAGAGGCACCAGCACTGGTGGTGGCACAACGCAGCAACGGTCTCATGGGGGCAGGTGACGGGATTCGCAGGGACAGATGATGTACTGCCACCGGATTGCTCTCAAAGGCAGATAGCCATCGTGGGCGTCCAGCGGGACGCTGCAGGGCTGAGATTGCACGTCGTAAACGCCTTCCCAGAAGGGAAGATTTTGCCAACGATGGTCACAGCTTTTATTCAAAGGTGGTCAAGCGGGACTGACCCAAGAGAGGTGTTGGTGCGTGCTCCAACAAATCAACAACGTGCACAAAGCAATCTGCGCGTTTGATGGCTACACTGCCAAGTTTCAAGAATACGTGATCAATCAGTTTGATTAATGTCGCCACGGACCTTGAACTTTGTGGATACAGCTGTGAGCCCATGCTGAAGGCGTCAGTGACCCGGAGGTCTGCCAACCTGATATAATTGATTGAGGAAGTATCAAGATCGCTGTTGGAAGCAGGTCTAGCTTTTTTAGGATTGCTCTCCGAAGACGCCAAAAATGACGTGGATTTTCTGGCTGATAGATGCGCGATTTATATAATTAACTATCCTGTTAATGAGTTTCTGCGAAGGGCGACGATTGGGAGGGCGCGTAACGGCCAGGTTGGGCCGTTCCGCCCACTGGACAGTTTGGGGCCATCCAATAGCCGGTTTCTGTCACCCCTGTACTCGGGGTCAGTGCTGCCCGACGTATCCAAGGGAGCTTGGGTGGATCTTTGTACCTTGGGCGCGGCCAAGGGGACCGGTCAAGCTGGCCCTTGGGTTTGGCGGGGAGTTTGGCGGCAAGTGGGAGTGCTATTTCAGGCGCGACCCTTGGCGCCCCCCTTATCTTGTTTCGCTTCGCGCCAACACCTTTGGCACAACCCGGAACCACCGAGTGGTTCGACCCTCCGGCCTCCGCGCCGAGTCCTTTCTGTATGAACCCCAGCCCTGCCGACCAGTGGCTGCGGGCACAGGCGCTTCGTTTCAACCAGCGCCTCCCTGACCGTCCTATCGAGGTTACGTGGGTTTCAGACCCCTGGTTACTCCCCCGCTCAGTCAACAACCGCGTCGCCAGGCCGGACTTTACGTCTTTCCCGGCCTGGTTCGACGTACGGGAGACCGGCCAGGGTCAAACCGTCGCCGCGGCCTTGGGACCCAACTCCGGCTACTTCCAGAAGTACGCGAGCTGGGCGCCGTGGGTCGCGTGGCAGTTCGACTACACGGCGGCCTTCGTGGACCTGGTCACCCACCCGAGTCTTCCGCCTTCGATCCTCGATCTACTCCTGCCGTACGTCTACGCCTCGGTGGCCATTACCGAGCGGCAGGTCGACCAACTGCGCCTCCATCAGGTGCACGCGAAGCATCGCAGCACCGGGCTCGAGGGATCCTGGCGGGCACTGCAGGCCCAGATCCGCCTCAGCGAACCCGAAGGCGGCTTCACCACCGAGACCATCGACGGGACGTTGGGTGCCATCCGCAAGGAGCTCCTCACCCAGGAGGTCAAGCTTGCGACCAAGGCGGCCGCGGCCAGTCGGGCATCCAAGGCGGGGAGCAGCGATCCCCCTTCCCATTCGAGCGGCCAGGCGGGGAAGCGAGGCAAGCGCCGCAATCCCCCTCAAGCGTCGCGTCCCCCTCCGGACGCGTAGCTGATTTTCCGTACAACCGCACTCGCGGCCGGCTTTTGGCATGGCGGAGGATTGGAGCGCCCTCACACGTTCTACGTTGGATCCATTCGGGTGTTCCGCTGCCATGGGGACCGCAGGGCCCCCCTCCGGCCTTCGACCTGGGCGAGTACCCGATCCGTTCCGCGGAGGAGCGGGCGGGCTGGGAATCCCTACGCGCGGAGTACTTGGCTTCGGGAGCGATCGTGAAGGTAGACCCCGGTCCAGAGTCTCGGATTTCGCTCGCCTTTCTGGTCGAGAAAGGACGGGAGAATGGGGTGATGAAGTTCCGACTTTGCATTGATTTACGTCGGGTGAATCGTCACCTCCGCAAAATGGGTTTGCGGTATGAAAAGATGAGGGATTTTGGTCACTTGCTTCACAAAAATGATTTTCTGGTTGGGTTTGATATTAAGGATGCATACCATCACTTGCGGATGCGTTCTCAGGATGAATGTTTTTTACAATTCCGTATGGGCGGTGAAGTCTTTGCTTGCCGGGCTCTACCGTTTGGCCTGGCATTATCGCCTTATTTTTTCACCCATTTCATGTTGGTGGTGACTAGATTCCTTCGGTCCCCCGGCTCGTGTGCCAAGGCGGCGCACGCTTTTCGGTTTGGTTGTTTAGCGGGGAATGATGCCATTCAGCGGTATTTTGTGTGGTATACCCACGAATCTCCTGCGGTCCTGTTAGCCTACTTAGATGATTTTCTGGCGGCCATGAGTGATCCCGCCAAATTGCGCCAATGGTCTCATTTGGTGCGGGAGATTTTTCAAGCTTTGGGCATTCGTTTCAAGGACCGAAAATGTCAGTGGGATCCCGTGCAAAGTAAAAGGCATTTAGGAATCGTGATCGATACCAAGGCTTGTCGCTTTTACGTTCCTTTGGACAAATCGGCTTCCATTGCCGAACGGGCTCGGATCCTTAGGGCCCGCCGCTGGGTGGTGGCCCGCGACCTAGCTCGTTTTTGCGGGCAGGCTATCTCCCTTTACCTAGCCTTCCCCTTGGCCCGCTTTTTCTTGCAAGGCCTGTATGCGGTGCTACGTACCAAGCGATCTTGGCGTGATCGCCTTCGCTTGACACCCCAGGCCTGCCTCGATTTAGAGGCTTGGATTCACATTCATCGGTGTGAGGGCCGCCCCCTCAATCCTGATGCCGTCCCGTTTGCGGGCACGATGGCGACGGACGCCTCGTTGACGGGCTGGGGGGCCACTTTCGCGCCTCCTCATTCGGATCGACCGAGGTTGGCTCAAGGATTTTTCGATCGTTCGTTGACGCACATCAATGTGCGTGAACTGCAAGCGGTGGCCCTGGCCATTCGGGCCTTTTTTCCGGTCGATTCCCCCTCGATCTCGGCGCGGCTGCGCCTCCTGGTGGATTCGCAGGTCGTCCTTTTCTGTATCCGCAGCATGACGACCCGTTCCGACCAGCTCCGGGGGCCCCTACGCCAACTGCAGCAGATCTGTTCGGCCCGATCGCTGCTCCTCGATCCGGAGTACATTCCGTCCCAAGACAACACGATCCCCGACCAACTGTCGCGGGTGCGGGGTGGGGAGGACTACCGCCTCAGTCCGTCCATTTTCAAGACAATTACACGGACGTTCGGCCCGCGGACCATCGACCGCTTTGCTTCCCATCGCAATTCCCTCTGCCCCCGGTTCAACTCGCGGCATCACGAGCCGCATTCGGCGGGAGTGGACGCCTTCCTCCAGGATTGGACGGGCGAGGCCAATTGGGCCAACC